ATTTTAGCATTTTTATATACTATAATATAGTATTTATTAATATATTTAATCAGATTTTAGTTTTTATGTTTAGTTTAGGGGTGGGTGATATGACCAAAATCTTATATCACGATATGAGCAATTTTATTTCACGGTAACGATATACATCACAATATAGTTATTTTTGCTTTAAATAAGGTTTTAATGATATCATGTTATATTATGATACCATAGAAATTTCATAATTCTTGGTAACAGTGTCAGTATCACAAAAAACTTATACTAGCCTAAATAATAAAAAAAAACTCAAGCTCATTAAAGACAAACTAATTGCCAGCAATAGAACAAAAAACTACAGTAGAACAAATAATTAAAAACTGCTACATTTTATAAAGTAATCAAATGTATAAAAACACTGCATATTCTTCACTGTGTAAATTAAATATACAATATATATCTTCTTATTAAAATTACAAAAGTGATATAGTCAAGAACAGTGAGAGATTTTCTCTCTTTTGTTGTTTAACATGAATGACAGACAGCAGGAATATTAGACTGTCACTGCTGTCACTTTAAGAGCTGCCCGTATCCAATATATTGTTACACATGTTTTCTTTCTTAGCTGTTTGCTTTCACTTAAGACTTAAATTACTGTGTTTACGAGGATACTTGCAAAGATGGGCATTTTGACACATACAAGCGTGTGTATTTAACCATTCAAGGACTATAAAGCTGCAAAAATAACTGTTAAATACTCCTGTGCTCTATGAGCACTGTCTTCACGTGCGCGCACCTCTCTGGCAGTGCTCAGAAACCATATCTCAGACAGCACGCGCATATAGTGAAATAAGTTCTCTCCACCAGTATATCACCCACCCCTAGTTTAGTTTTCTATTTCTATATAGCTTTCATTTATTTTATCAGTTTCAGTAATTGTTGTAATAAAAAAAAACAGATTTTGGTGAGGCAAAATGTTTTTAAAAAATTAAATAAAATACATTTTAAGTTGAAGTTTTTCATCAAATGAATTTATATTTCACCATTTACTTCTACTTTAGCACTGAAACCTTCAGGTTTAGTTAACAATAACCACACTGGGCTAAACATGTTTATCTTACGAGCATAAATAGCATAATTAAGATAAGCCCCTGGCCCCTGTTAAAAAAATAGGTTTAACTAGCAAAAGATGGTTTGCTTGTTTTGGCTGGTCTCTTGATTTTTTAGCAGGTGAGGTTGGAAGACCATCTTAAACCAGTTAAGACCAGCTTAGGACAGTTTAAGCTGATTCTTTTCAGCAGGGGCATCTTATGCCTCCTTAAAATGCTTCCTCTGTAGACAGCTCACTAATGGCGCTTTTCCACTGCATGGTACGGCACGGTACGGTTCGGTACGGTTCACTTTTGGGGGGTTTTCCACTGGGTACACCAAAGTGATACTCTATGAAATGAGATTCAGATGACTTTCAGGATGCTTGAAGGGATAGTTCAGCCAAAAATGAAAATTTTGTCATCATTTACTCCCCATCATGTCATTCCAAACCAAACTCTCTTTCTTCTGTGGAACACAAAATAAGATATTTCGGACAATAAACAGTTGAAACATTCTTCAAAATATCTTCTTTTGAGTTCCATAATGCACAGTCCTTCACAAACAAGAACAATAGGAGCAATTATAAAACTGTTTCTTTGTATTACAGCAGCGCTCTGAGCCGTTAGCACAGCGTAGTGTGGAAGACAGGACCATATGGCGGCACTGGGCAGCAGAACGCATATAAGTGGTGCAGGAGTGGTTTGAAGCACCCCAGGGAAACCAAGCCACAACTTCATTAACGGAACATAGATCAGAGCTGTCAAGCAGGCAGCTCCTCCAGCACGGTGTCCAGGGCCATCTGTGCAGCACCACTCATAAACAGCCCTCAAAACTCCCATGGAGTCTCTGGCTTTCTGAAGCCGCAGATAAATTGCACATTTCTTCCCACTTTAATGGGCGACTTGGGTCGGCTTCTGCTTTACGCAAACCTGGCAGTGCCATGTGTGACCTGACAGATGCCTCATCCACTTCTGGGCAGTCAGACATTTGCTGTGGGATGAGGTTAGTGAGATGCCAGCCGATGTGAGGTGGAAATGATTAACCACTGAATACACTCAAGGGTGAGAGATACTGTAGCGAATCAGCTCATGGGGAAATATGAATAATTAATCATACTGAAATATAACACTAGCTGTGGTCAGCATAGACATGTAGTCTAGACTGTCATTGTTTCAGCAACCAAAACTATGCAAAACTTTATGGAGGCATATTAAATGAAAACAAATATTTCAGGCTATATTATGTTCCCATCTTTGATATGAGGCAAATAAGACAGTTTGACAGATACAGCTTAAAACTTTTTATTTTTTATGACTGATGACCTGTGGTGCAGGGCTGAGTAATGCTAACTACCTCACAATACAAAACACACTGCAACATGTCAAAATGATGTGGGGTAGTAATTGTTTCTGCTCAAAAATGTGAAATTAATATAGGTGTCTAACTTCAATAAAAAGGGCAAAAATTATTAAATGGTCCAGAGAGTGTAAATCTGCGTGATCACCTTCAATCACTTAAGCAGTTAGCATTTTCAGAGTTTCCATTTATTTCAATGAAACTCTTCATTAATAGATCTACATGGCATTATTTTTAAAGCACAAATAAAAAATATACAAGATACATGCTTTTAAAGCCGTGGTTCTCAACCTCAAACTGACTTAAACATATTGAAATTAATAAATTATTATCCAAGCTAAATTTAAACGCTAAAAAAACACATAAAACCAACTGTTATAAAACTGCCAAAGGTGCTGTATTATACAGGACACTTCCTGGCCAGGATTTTTATATTGCCTAAAACATCCGAAGTAGTTTGACCAATAACATGCAGGCATTTTACATAATCGACCAATCGTGGCGTGTAAGAAGGTGGGATCTACAGAGAATCAAAGCGATGCAAATACGTGCACGTGTTTGTTCGTACGTTCGACTTGAAGCAGCGCTGCGCAGACCAATCATTGTATGACACCAAAGTACTGTGAGAGTTATTCAAAACTTCAATACTCCAGGTTACCAGTTGGTGGAAAACACAGCGTATGCAACCATGGAAGCCAGCAAACGAACTGGGACAGATATTTTACCTCACCTACAAAGCATCGGCATCCATCTGAAAAGCTTTTTGACCAGAGGCATATTAAACATAGATAAATCAATTTACTGTGTGTAAGGCCTGTCGCCTTCCATTGTCAATTGCGCTTGTTCCTGTTGTGTGTCCTTGATCTGGCAACCCATATGAGCGCTGAGTCTGAGGAGGAGGGGCAGGAGTAACAACGCTCTCCAATACTTTGAATTTGGACTGCAGTACCCATTTCCACCTCTAGTTGTCAATATTATATACTCCCCTTTAACAACTATTAGTAACGTCTCGGTTACGTGTGGTAACCCTCGTTCCCTGAAGGAGGGAACGGAGATGTCACGTCGGATGACCGACGAATTGGGATCTCGCGACGTGACGTCGAGAGTGACCGACTGAAAGGGAACTATTACTATTAGTATTGTGTTTACTGAAGAACATTCAATTCTTCCGCTAACTGTCATACGTGCATTCACGAGAGAGTGGCGTTCCAGCAAATGATGTAAGACGTAGCATAAGCTCTGATAAGAAGAGAAAAACGCGGAAGTACAGAGGAGAGAGCAAAACAAAACACTGGTCACGAATTAGAAGTACAAAATGAGGATTTGGAAAGAAAAATGTTAGAAGATTTCGATATAAGCCAAAAGGAGACTGGTTTTCCTTTGCTGTAAACCAAACTTGGTTCTCGCAAGCCTAGCATATTCTCACCGGAGCTTATGCTACTCCTACATCCAATGTCATCCGCTAGAATGCCATTCTCTCGTGAACGTGCATATGACAGTTAGCGGAAGCTAGAGATTACGGTTTATAAAGTTTTATATATGGATATTTCTCACAAAAATTCTTTGAGCCATGTGGAATACTTTTTATAATGGATTTATGCTCTTTTATTAGACTTCAAAATCTTAAACCCCATTCACTGCCATTATAAAGCTTGGAAGAGCCAGGACATTTTTTTATATAACTCTCCATATACACCTAGGGGTAATTTGCATTTTTGGGTGAACTATCCCTTTAAATCTTTATAACTATTCTACATAAGAAATAAACATTTCTCTTGTTTGCCATCTTGTATTTCTTCTTTCATCAAGCCTCGTGGCAGTGCATTCTGGGTTTGCTCTCTCTGTGTAGGATACACACGATGCTGCCTTAGAATCCGGCCAAAATTTGGCCTCTTAGGAGGCAACATAACTAAACCTCCTACCTTCTGGAACAGTCTTCATCCCGGAAGCCTTAAATATTGCCTTCCAGGCAGCTCACTAGGTTTTAGAACAGAGCAAATGTGTAACAGCAACACGTTGTGTAACTTTGAACATTGCTTGCGTATTTTCACAGTTTTCTGCCTCTGCTCTGTTCACAGTCTGATATTTAGCAGATGCTTTTATTCAAAGTACAATTATTACAATTATATTATTATGTTTCAGGGTGCAATGATTTAGCAGGATTCAAACCTGCAACCTTATGGTTACCAGCCCAGATGATTAAGTACTACACCTTATAGAGGGTCACCTGTCTAAATTACCTTCCTGTCACAAAGTTCAGAAGTTCACTGTTGGCTAAACACACCAGCAATCCTCCACACTCGACTTCAAGACTTTAAATAAGCCTGTTATCACTGCCTGTTCATCTTGAGCAGGATCGTTCCGCCAGCTCTTCAGAGGAGTGTTTATTCACACTCACAGGAGAGGCATTCAGGGGGTTTGGCACAGATCTGACTCTCGGCACTCTGCACATTTTCCGTTTTTTAACTCTAGCTCAGCACTGCATATTCTTCCCATCTTTTGCTATATAAAAGCCTGAAGCTACAAATTACTCTTCAAAGGTTTGCGGCTTCGGTCTGGTCACAGTGCACCCTTACCCTAGTGGTTGTGGCAAACATGTACTTGTCCCGTAGCTGGAAGCTGTCCACCTTCTCCAGGATAACGCGGCGGTTTTGCTCGTCCTGGAAGAAGTCCGTGCTGCTGAGGATGCTGGAGTCTCCCTGGGGCTCGTGGCGCTCGACAAACACTGTGGTGGGTTTGTCGTATGGTTCTACACCCCTATGGGAATAGAAAGACACACATGCTTGGACATATTTGTTTGGACATACTTGGAAACAAGTAGCATGTGGTGGAATTCTGAAAGGCCCCCTCTCCACATATGTGGGTTTTTTTTAGGTTTAGCATAAATTTGTGCTCCCTTTTTTGTTTATATGGCAAACATAAAAGCAGCCAATAACATATGAAGAGTTTGGTTCCAAAACGCAATAAATCCATTTTGATTAATTTGACTAAAAATAAGTTTTCTTTACCAAGAAAGTGGTCAACAAAATAGATGAGGAAAACTAGGAAGCCGGGTGTATTCAAAGTGTTCATTACTGTCTAGAGTACGTGGAATGGTGCGCTGTGATTGGTTGAGCGGATATATCGCATTCTGCAGAAAAGGGAGACTGGTGTTTGTCACGGTTTGGAAGGGAGAAAACATGACAGAGTAACTCGGCGAATATCGCATTTTGCGTAAAATTAAAAATGGTGTGTGTGTGTGCATGCATGAGTGCTTGTGCGTGTGTGTGTTAATTTGAAGGCCATGTGCCACTAATGTTGTGTTTTTGTAATGTTAAATAAAGGAGGTAATGTTTAAGCATTATTGTTATTTTTTTCCCGTGGTATCGACTTGGTGTCAAGTATCGTGTACTTTTAGTGGTATCTGTACCGCTACTAGATTTTTTGGTATAGTGACATCCCTAGTTATAATAAAAGAATTCCATTTTTAAAAAATGCTGTTCTTTTAAACTTTCTATTTATCCTGAAAAAAAATGTTCATGGTTTTTCTCAAAAATAAAAAAAAAAACCCAGATGCTCTCAAAACTGATAGTAATAAGAAATGTCTCTTGAGCACCAAATCAGAATATTAAAATAATTTCTGAAGGATCATGTAATACTGACTTAACAATATTACTGACTTTAATATATTTTTGATTGAATACATGCAGTCTTAGCATAACATAATTTAGACTTCTTTCAAAAAATCGTACAGACCCTAAACAGTAATGTATTTATTAGTCGAATAAAAGCTTCATGTAGTTTATGCATTTTCAAGCACATTGCTTAAAAAATAATAAGTTCATTAATAAAGTTACTAACTTGTTTTGTATTGTATTTCCTAATGATATACAATATGCTACACTGCAAAAACAGCACAATGCATCTGCAGCGGCATTTATCAAATGTGATCAATAGTTACTTCCACTTGCCAAGCTAATCCAGGCTCTTTACATATCACAATTTACATTCAGCTGAAGAGGCAACCAAATTTACTCATCTGGAGATCAAGACTACAGACGGAGGAACGGACAGCGGTTTCAGATAAACGGACGGGAGAGTCTCTCTCTCTCTACTCTGGACAAATGGCCTGACTTCACTTCCTCTGTAAACACACAGCGGTGCTGATTGTTGAGACTGGCTCTTAAATCACCAAGCTAAAGGATAAAGGGATTATCTCACAGGGGAACAAACACACAAACCTCGCCATTTGCTTTCTATTTCACAACTGGGGGTTTAACACATCCAGCAGCAGGGTGAGAGATGGATAAAAGCAGGGGTTTACAGCTCTTTTAACCAGCCCCGCAGCTCTGCCTTTAGTTTGTCTAGATTAAAACTGAAAACCAATTGAGGGCTCAGAGGATACAGTCAGCAAACTCACACCCAGAAAAACACATGCACACACACACACACACACACACACACACACACACACAAGTCTATTTGTTGACCTTTAAAACAGAAGTCATGCTGTTTGACAGAACTTCCTTTATTCCCTCTGACTGCTACTATAAAGTAATAAAATACACTAAAATATTAAAATTCTGGTCAATACCGATAAGCCAACAATTATTTTGATGTTATGGCCAATATTAAAAATTTCAATTATTTTGTCTAAATTACACTAGTGTTTAAAAGTGTGGGGTCTGAAATACTTTTTTATGTTTTTAAAGAAATCTCAGCAAGGCTGCATTTGATCAAAAATATAGTAAAAGAACAATATTGTGAAATATTACATTTCATTCTAATATGCTGATTTGCTGCTCAAGAAACATTCCTTATTAATCAATGAAAACAGTTGTGCTGCTTAATATTTTTGTGGAAACTGTGATACATTTTTCAGAATGAAAACATCTATTTGATCTATTTAACATGTCTTTGCTAAATAAAAATCTTAAAAAAAAAAAAAAACTTACTGACACCAGACCTTTGAATGGTTATGTACTTAGCAAAACAAAATGTAAATATAAATCAAATTAGTTTTACATGCCATAAGTGAATTTAGGTGTCACAGCATAATGTGCAGTATGAAAAATTGAGATTTGCTAAAGATTACATTTAACAGTGTAAATTATTAATTTTTTCTTTAACATAACAAGAAGGAATCTAAATGTAAAAACAGAGAAAATCAGCATTAAAAAAATCCTAATTATCAGCTAATAATCAATATAATACTGATACATCATGCATCCTTAAGAGATCCAACATCTGAAAAGGGTGATCACCCTCTTTAAAAAAAAACATCTGTCAATCCAGAAAAAGACAGAGCTGTTTGAAATGTACAGGTTCTTCTGACAAACCTGAGCCAGGCTCAGTGTGAGAGAGCTCTTAGAGCAAAGAACAGAAGGGTTATCACTGCAGTAATGGTGTAGTCGGACTCTGAGCTCTCGAGTCATTTGTGTTGGGCCATCGCAGTGGGTCGCTGATGTTATCTCCACAGGCACTGACTGCCACTCCAGCCGATGAAATGGGCTACGGCTGGCAGACACAATCAATTATTAATACGGCCGCAGTCTGAGCCTCATCAGAGAAACATCCACAACCGACTGTTTCACAGTCAAGCAGCCTGTCTGGACGGCAGCCCACATGCTTGAGAACACCGACCGCTTCCTTATATATCTGACTGTTATGTTGCAACAATGTGCAAAACAAATCTGTTCCGGCATCAAGACATTGTAGACATTTGAGCTAAAGTTAAAAAACGGTAATCACGCCTGTGATGAATTACAGTCATAACATTCTATGTAGCTCCGGTCTTCCGGTCAGATTATATCCTGGAGCATAATGTTTACGGAATGGGAGAGCAATAAGCGCCACTCTGTTATTTCTAGTTGCTTCTTGCGTTTCGATGCCGGTCCCTGATTGTGCAAACACTAAGAGCTGGCTGCAACCCAAAGCAAGAGTTTCACATTCCTACATAAACTCGTGAATTGAGAGAGGCAGCACAGAGAGTGCTCAACCCTCTTCAAATTACAACCTCTGATACAAAATCCCTGTAGAGCGTGGAGAGCAAGCACTTGATTTGCCAGTGATCTTCCTGAGCTCTGATTGTTTTGTTAGTTTAGCCTAACAAAAAGCGGCAAACTCACAACAACCCTGATCTTTTAGATAGCAATCGAAACCACAGAATTGAGCCATATATGATCTTTAGCATCTCTCTGATCAAATATACAGTAAAATCATAATATTCTGAAATATTATTACAATTGAAAATAACAGTTTTCCATTGAATGCATTTTAAAATGACATTTATTCCTGTGATGGCAAAGCTGTATTTTTATTAGCTATTACCCTAGTCTTCACTGTCACAGATCCTTCAGAAATCTGTTATCATCAATATTGAAAACAAATATGCAGCATAATATTTTGTGGATACTTTTTCAGGAGTCTTTGATTAAAGTTCAGCATTTATAACGGTAATGACAACCGATAATGATCAGGATAACCAGTAATTTTTTTAATTTGAAAGCCAATAACCGATATGTTGGCCAATAAATCTAAATCCCAATTTTTACATAATTTTTAAGAGCATGATATTAGAGACTAGCCATGTACCAAACAATCAAACATATACATTACAGCAACCTAGTTTGAACCAGTGTAAATTTTAAAATAAATGTTACACTCCTATTACCAACTTTCTTTATCAAAAAAGGTCTCACAAATAAATAAAATAATGCTTAAATAGTGCAAGTCATTGAACAACATTACTTACGTGTAAATAATCCATGGATAAAACAGAATAGCCTCCACACACGGACAATAATACAATTATTTTAATTAAACCATATTTTTGATAAAATAATAAGATAAAAAGCGGTGGTTATTATTAATAATGCATCAATGATTTTGATTCCTCTGAAGGAAATAATGCATTATTTATTGGCTTTAATATATCGGCCAAATGTTCTTATTGGGTCGATAACGGTTATAGTAAAAATGAGCATTTATCGGCCGATATCGATATGGTGGCCGATATATTGTACATTCCTAAACCTTGGTGAATAAAAATACTAATTTCTTTAACAATAAAAATCTTACTGACCCCAAACTTTTGAACTGCAATGTATAATAAAAGGCTACTAATAATAAGCAGACAACTGCATTGAAACTATTTGAATTTTAAATTACTGTGATATATATATTATCATATAGTTTTCTATGTCACTACAATCATGATGACATACAGTGGCGGACTGGCCATCTGGAGCACTGGGAGTTTTCCCGGTGGGCCGCTGTACAATGTGGGCCGGCCCTTTGCGTAAATATATATATATAAAATGAATTGTAGTAAATGTACGTATTAGGGTTGAACGACTTCTGATTTTTTGAAGTCGACTTTTATGTGATGAAAGTCGAGTCGAAGTCGACTAGTCGCTGCTGACGTCATTAATGAACAAATAAGTCTGGAGCTGTGATAAACACCTTGTGCACAGCTATGGCATATGACACAGCACTGCCCACATGGCTGTTGCTCCTATAACAGCTTTTTTATCAGTTCTTTTGTCTTTGGGTCGTTATATTTCTCACAGATTTCTGCTCATTCTAAATCAGATACAGATAAAGTAGCACAGTAAAGATTACATTAATATGAATGCATTAGTGAGAGCGATTGCGTGTGTGAATTAATTCTACCTGGCAGCGTCTCTCTACTAGTAGTGAAGCTGTGGCATTTGAACTGTTTGGAAACGGAGCGTAAATGTGGAAGTCCTTCAAAGATTTCTTATCCTGTTGCGCCCTCTATAGGACCAGCGACTAGTCGACGTCAAGCTTAAAGCGTCATGGCAGAGCATTGAAGTCGACTAGTCGATTAGTCGGTGCAACCCCTAGTACGTATATCTTCCAGCTCAGTGCAGCGACTCAAAAGCGCTCATCAATGTCAAAATGTTTGAAATACCCAAAGTGTAGAAGCAGGATTTACTGTTCACAGACGCTGAGTGAGCTGCCAGCGACTTGAATGCGAGCTGAGGTAAGATGAAAGCAGCTAAACGTAGTGAGTCAATTCAGCAATATTTGCCTACAGTTTACGAAAAAAAAAAAGTTAAACGACAGACATTAATTTTCAGGAATACAAATTACTACTGGCCTTTTCAAATTTCTCAGATTTTAATGCCATTTACGTTATTCGTCACAATGTACATATTAGCAGACATGAGGTAAGAGTTAATGTAGATATATCTCTATAAAGGCTTTCTTCCATGATTTCATGTGTCTAAGAAAATGTTTAAAAATCTATAAAAATCATTCTCAATCTTATTCTAGAACATTGTAAATCTGAAGACTTTTGCTTTCGAGTGCTGTGCATAGGAAAGTGATTTATATTACAGGCCTAATAAAAATATAATTTGCTTATTAATTCACATGCATTACTTTATATACACACTGGTGGTTAAAAGTATGAAATAATTAAGGCTTTTTATTTATTTATTTATTTGAAAGAATAATATGAAACAATAATATTATGAAATATTACACTTAAAATAGTGGTTTTCTATTTAGGCTATTTTAAAATGTAATTTATTTCTGTGATCAAAGCTGACTTTTCAGCATCATTACACCAGTCTTCAGTGTCCCTTCAGAAATCATTTTAATGCTGCTTAATTTGCTGCTTAATCATTATCAGTTAAAGAACAGCATTTATTTGAAATTTAAGTACTTCGTAATATGTGTAAATATCTTTACTGTCACTTAAATCAATTTAATGCAACCTTGCTGAAGAAAAGTATTAATTTATATTTTTAATCTTACCCAAGACTGAATGGTATCACATTTTCCACAAAAATATGAAGCAGCACAACAGTTTTAGACATTCATAATAATCAGAAATGTTTCTTGAGCAGCATTTCTGATTTCTGAATGATCATGTGACACTGAAGACTGGGGTAATGATGCTGAAAATTCAGCTTTGATCACAGCAATAAATTATATGTTACTATATATTCGCATAGAAAACAGCTATTTTAAATGGTAACATTATATATTTCACAGTACTGTTTACTGTATTTTTCATCATCAAAATAATTTGTATACTCTTTTCCACAATTGGAGCTCTATTCCTCCTGCAAATGTACAAATACTGTATATCACCAATAAAAAGGCACCAAAAAACAGTCCGCATTCTGCACTATTCAAGTCTTCTAGACGATACCAGAGCATTGTGTCATATGGACTGATAATATTGGTATTTAACTTTAGTGATATTAAACCGTCCCTCATAAAAATTCTTAAAAATGATTTACTATTTGCCATATACACCAGGAAAGACAAATTATAATGTAAAGAATGCCAGTCATTTATGGTGTGGTGCAGTGTGTTGCGGACCGGGTTTGGTGGGCCGCTCTGTGCCAAAAAGTCCAGGGCCACTTTTTGGCCCCATTCCGCCCCTGGTGGCATAAAAGGTGGTAAATTGTTTTTTTAAACTGGTTCATTTAAAATGAATGAACTGTCGAAACAACCATTTTAGTAAAATTAATTGAAATTCTTTATGCTTCATAAGACAAAAAGACAGTAGACATTTAGGCAAGTATGTTTAATTGTTTACTCTGTTTGTTTGGCTGCAAAGCTACAAGCAAAATATGATGTGACAAAAAATAGCAATGTAGCATTTTGTTACCGCTTGGAAAATGTAACTTGTTTCTAGAAAAGCTACTATGTTTATAGCACTGAAAAATGTTAAATTAGAAGCATGACTACTTTTGGCAAACATGAATCATACCCATACACACATAGACAACATTCCAAAACAGATTTCACACTGGACACATTCACAGAGCGATTTGCGTCAACACTCTCAAAGAGCTTGATCTTACCAGAAGTAGGACTTCACATGCTCCTGAATTAACACCCACGTCTCACCGAAGTCATCTGATTTCCACAGCTGCCAAAAGAAAATTAAAAAAAGAAAACAGAACGAAGGATAGGTCCTTAAGTGCCAGCAGTTTCCACTTTCCAGTATAACATTTAATATGATTCAACATTTATCATAAACCAGCTTCTCATACGAAAATTACAGCTGATTAGCTCAAATCAAAACATGCTGCTTAGTGCTAAATTCAAAAGGGCAAATCTCTACAAACAACTAAAGGCCTAAAATGACAGTGCCATTCATCTTACTAAAACTGGACACATGATATACAAAAAGCCCAGTACTGATGGAAGGAATTAGTGTTCATACCTGTTTATTGGGGTGAGAACTGTCATAACCGAGGACCAGGTTAGGCCTCTTATTGTGCAGCAGTAAGTCCGTGGGCTTGAATGGGATGGAGAAACCTTGAACAATTTGGCAGAAGTCAAAGGTGTTCCACAGGTAACTGTTCGTGGCGTCAGTAAATAGATACTGCAAAGGAAAATTTGAGAAATTAAGACATTTAAAAAAGGGTAAATTCAGCCATAAATAAAATGTCATCATTTACTAATCTCAAATTACAAATCCTATATTATATAAAAACATAAAAAGACATGCAAAGCGGTGCCAAGTATCTATTTTCCATACAGTGAAACTGGGTTCATAATCCCCAGCTCCAAAAAGCACCAGAAAAGTAGTCCATATGACTCATACATGTATAATGTACAAGATTTATAATGTAAAATGACCTGATTATGGGTCTGTTTGTCTTAAAGACTTGGAGCTTTTATGATGCTTTTAATTGCCATTATAAATAACCATCCACTTTCTTTGTTCGAAAAAGAGCAGCATCGACATATATCTTCTTTTGTTGTTCATAGAAAAAAACCAAACAAGTCCTACGGGTTTGGAACTTGGTAAATAATTATATATGATGACAATGTCGTTTTGGGGTAAACTATCCATTTAACCTCTGTAGTGGTTGAAGACACAACAGAAGCTCTCAAAGTTACTATATTAGAGGTGTTTATTTCAAGCGGTTGGCCCCATGAAAACACCAAAGCCTTTAAGTATAGTAAAAAAACATATTTTTAACATTATTAATTATTCAGATTATGCATTTCTGCCGTTCTAATCTGCCCCCCTTCTCTTTGATCTTTCGTTTAAGAGCTTTTGCTATAAACTTTGTCCTCTCCATGGCCTGGTTATGGAAGCAGGGCACTTCCCTTTCCAGATTCTGAGGCAATGAGGACTGGGACTGAAACAGAAATGCTTGACTTAAAAAGAAACCTAATGCTGTACGGAAAAATGAATGAAAAAGAACAAAAAGAGGAAGTGGAGCATATGCATTTGCAGCATAACCTATGATCACCATCAGACCATCAGTGACTCATAGAACTATATTTTTATGTTTGCCTTTGTAAACCTTATCATCACAATGTTGTTCAGTGTTCTCAATGGTTGCCAGGGTGTTGTTATGCGGTTGCTAAGTTGTTCTGAGTGGTTTCTTAGCAGCCCAAGTCAAAACAGCTTAGAGAAGTAGCAGCACAACTCTTCACAACAAGCCACACGATTTCATCACTTCATAGTGAAGAATAATGAGATCATCATTAAAAAAATATGATTCATTCTAAATATAAGTTAAATATAAATATTAAATATTAAATAAAATATTAAATATTAATATTAATTATTATTGAGTTATTATTATTATCAACTAAAATAGTAATAATAAAAAGTATAGATAAAGTATCGATAAATAGTAATACTGTTGATTTACTGAAGTTAATTAACATTAATATAATATATTCTAAATACATACTATAATAACTGAGGTCTATATAATAATTTTATGAATAATAATAGCCAATAGTAACTCCTTACAAAATCCATTCACACTAGCAAGTCAAAGCCACTATAAAGAGATCAATCAAACAAACAGGCCCAGTAAGCCTCAGAATCAATTATGAGTGCATATCAGCTCATTCTTCACACAGTTATTCATTTGAGATTTTATGTCAGGATTATTAATTTATCACAAATGCATTAAAATACTCCACAACAAACCACACAAGCACCCTGCCAATATCTCTGTTAATTATCCCATCTGTAACAATCAAGATTTAGAGTTCTTCTCGCCATGCGGATCAGCGGCGCAAGTTACTCTGATCACGTCAAATGTAATTAAAGAGCCCTGTGCTCCTACCAATAGGTTGTATGCTTTACAAATTACACTCGTAATGCTTTAGCGTCAGTCCTTCATCAGCAGCAGGCGGCAGCTGCAGTGCCAGCCACATCATTGACACCAGATGAATGGTCACCATCTGCTGACGTCAGCCCCAGCAATAACGCAATGCAGAGTCCTGCAGCGGTTCTGCCACATCTGCAGCTCCCCACTCCCAACTCCCATGAGCCTCTGCACCTCACAGAGACTCACTGGAGCAGCCCGTTACAGTGGGTGCCAAGGGCAGAGACTATGCATGTAGCTTGTGTTTTCGCCCAGCCCTTTGAGCTGCTCTCTTGGAAAACACCATCTGTGGGTTTATAAGTGATTGGAGTGGTGGAAGGTCACAGCTGCAGATGGCCGGGAAGCGGTCGGTGTCACTGCGGTCTTGTTTGACCTCGGCTTAGCTCACAAAGACAAGACAATTCAAGGAAGTCACACAAATAGTTCAGCTAATGTCTCACACACTTACTCGTTTGTTGTCGGCGGGGCTGTGGTAAAACTGCGAGATGACTTGTTTCTTGCCCTCCTGGTCCCCAGACAGTTGAAATTTCTCTGATACTTGAGTGAAGGTGGTTCCATAGTCATAAGACACGTACACCTGTTAAATAAACAAAACCATGTCAAATTTCAACCTGATACACTGCTGAAATTGAGGCTCTGTTCCAAAACCTAGTAAGCTGCCTTGTTGTTTTCTGTCTACACAGGCAGCTGCCTTCTAAGTCAACATCTTAATTGAAATTAAACCTTTCTTAATAGTGAGCAACTCCTTATGTATCAAAAACAACATTCTTTAAGTGAACTACACGTAAGACTTTGCTCACAATTGATTCCAGCTTGATGTTAGCATGTTGCTAAGCTAAAAGCATAATAATCTAATAAGCCACACTAAAAAATAATGCTCCTTATGTGAGACTCTTCTTATAATTATATCCAACAGATTTTGAAGTCAGCATATTGCTAAGCTAACAGCTTGATAATTGAATGCTCAACTTTATGTCTAAAAAAATAACCCTTGTTATGTAAAGCTCGCTGAGACTCTGCTTTACAATAGATTTCAAGACTTTGACGTTAACATGTTGCTTAACTAAAATCATGAAAAACTAATAAGCAACTATTTGTATTTCACGATCTGGGTCATTATTTAATAAAAAACTATATTTAATACAAAACCACACATAATGTTTCTACTGTATCTCTGTCAATCACTCTGATATTTAGTTAAAATGAGTGAATTGACTGAGTGCTGTCTGTCACTGTCTTTAATCAGTTCTGTGAATGACTGTATGGTATGCTACATGCACTGTAATATGTTTTATATTAAATATAAAATTTTCAAATGAAAATAGCAACATGATCGTTTTCTGAAGTATGCGTTTATATGTGTTAAGGGCTAGATTTTCGCTGGAGGAAACAGCTGTGGTGTGATGAGGGGTGAACGCAGCGAAAACTTTACAGTAGATGGGAAACCGATTGCTCCCTCGTGACCTTTTGTAAACTGTATTTATGACAAACCCGTAAGACCTTCGTTCATCTTCGGAACACAATTAACGATATTTTTGATGGAATCTGAGAGCTGTCTGACCCTGCATAGACAGCAACACAACTGAAATGTTCCCAAGTCCAGAAACGTAGCAAGGAGATCGGTAAAATAATCCATGTGACATCAGTGGTTCAACCGCAATTATACGAAGCTACGAGAATACTTTTTGTGCACAAAAGAAAAAAAAAACGACTTTATTCAACAATTGAGTGAGTAATTAATGACAGAATTTTCATTTTTGGGTGAACTAACCCTTTAAGAGCTGCCCGGATCCAATATACTGTTACAAGTGTTTTCTTTCTCAGTGGTTTGCTTTCACTTAAGACCTAAATGACTGTGTTTACGAGGATACTTGCAAAGATGGGCATTTTGACACATACAAGTGTGTGTATTTAACCATTCAAGGCCTATAAAACTGCAAATATAACTCTGTTCAATACTCCCGCACTCTATGTGCACCGTCTTCATGTGCGCACACCTCTCTGAAAGCGCTCAGAAACAGTTTCTCAGACAGCGCGCGCAAATGAGTTCTCTTTCACTGTTGATTGCATTTCAATGGCTTAAAATCACTTGTTTTTAAACCGCAATGCTTAAAAATGCGTACAAATTATATGTTTTCGTGACCATGTAGCACAGCAACGTCACATGAGCGTGTAACCGCGATAGAGTCGATAGTCCAAAATTTCTACCGGTTAATCGTGTCTACCGGTATATCGGCCACCCCTCATGTGAAGCACATTAAGGCCCAATCCCAATTCTATTTTATACCCCTTCTACCTATATACCTCCGCCTACCCCTTCCCCTTGTCCCTTGAAACAGAGTGTCAAGGGGTAGGGGTGAAAATATTCCCCTAAGAATTGGGACACCTCTACTATACGTCACACGTCATCATACGTCGTCTAGCTACTACAATACACACACCTATACTGGTGTGTGCATTAGAGCCTTTAATTACCGTTCTATATTAATGAGCTGCTTACTGACACACACACACACACATCAGATATCACGCAGCTCACACATCAAGGAGCAAAGAAACT